AGGATGTTTTAATTATCTAGAATGGGCTAATGCATATTAGTGATTAGCCGACCATTAATCTCTGGTGCTGACCATACTGATGCTGAATTATGCATCTGTGTGTGTGTGTGTGTGTGTTTTTGTGTTATTGATTCTGGCAGTACATTTCTATAGATATGTGTCCAATATGTTTGCTTTGCTCCAGAGAACAAAGTTGCCCTGTGAACTTCAGGAAGCCATAATGAAATGGGAGAAGCTAAAGCCTCCGGAGCCAGATGATCCCATGTGCTGCTGTGAGTGTGATATCTACCAGTACGGATGCTGCTGTGACTGTGAAGATCTGGACGAGGCCTTTAACAGGTTAGAAGACGTATGTCCTTTAATGAGACACAGAAGGGTGACACGATGATTTCCAGACATCAAATACAATTCAAAAGCAATTTCCAATATCATATTTTAGCCATAATTGTTCCAAAAGCTAAAAAATACTTGTTGAATTTAGAATCAAACCATGAAAATAATCATGCATAACAGATAAGTGACAGCATCAGTTGCAGCGGATCAGTTTACAGCACCACAGAGAACATTGCAAACAGGAGCTAAAATATTCTTTGGGATAATGGGGGGTCACATATCTCTGACTCGGTTATTTTGGGCATCAAGGGCGGAACATTTTGTGAACCTCTGCTCACCTCTGCTTGACAACTCCATGTTGCAATGTATTTCATTTAATATTATTTTATCCATTTATTTATCTTTTTACCGTTTATTTAAATGTAAACATGTGTGACATCACACCAAAGCACAATATTAAAATTACAGGATCTGACCCTTAAGAATAAGAAAACAACTTATGTGATTTTCCTCATATCATATATCATTAGTTTGATCAATGAAAACAGAAAGTGTATTGAGTGTATTAGCATCATTCCTTCAGAACTTTTTAAAACTTTTTACAAGTGTTTGTAACTTACTGCCTGAATGTGTGAGCTGCAGGTGGCTGAAACACAAACCACCTCACAGCGGGTGTCAGTCTCCTGTTCTCGGGGCTCTGATTGACAACCTGGAGATCTCCATGATCCCGGCCCTGGTGCTGCTTCCTCTCCTGCTCCGGGCCGCAGCGCTGCACTACCTGCTGGGCATCATCATCCTGACAGCTCTGCCCAGTCTGGTCCTCTGGTACTACTACGCCACGCACCGCAAGAGGAGACGCACCCTCTTCTTCCTCACTCTGGCGCTGTACTCTCTGGCCTACATGTATTACCTCTTCATCACAGAGATTCTACCACGTGGGGACGTCAGCCAGCTGCAGGTGTGCACTGTGACTGCTGGGATGATTCTCACCATTGGATC